CCAACTCAAATGAAGAGAATACAGTTGATGAATTTACAAAAGAAGTTGAAATGCTTGACAAATTTCGAAGTGAATATATTGTCCATTTCTATGGAGCTGTGTTTATACCAAATAAAGTGTGTATGGTCACAGAGTTTGCACAATTTGGAAGTTTACAAGATTTGATAAAACACAAAACAAGTGACGAAATTGACATGATACTTCGAATTATAATGATGTTGGATGCATCAAGAGGTATTTTGTATTTACATGAAAACGGCATTTTACATCGAGACATTAAACCAGACAATTTACTTGTGTTTTCATTAAATTTAAATGATAAAGTGAATGCAAAATTGACTGATTTTGGGAGTGCTAGAAATGTCAACTTGTTGATGACTAACATGACATTCACCAAAGGTATTGGTACACCAACATACATGGCGCCTGAGGTGTTGAACAAAGAAAAGTACACAAAATATGCAGATGTCTTTTCGTTTGGTATAACAATGTATGAAGTGTTCGGGTGGTGTGAAGCGTATATAATTGAGAATTTTAAGTTTCAATGGAAAATAGCCGAGTTTGTGATGTCGGGAAAACGACTTGAAAGAAAAGAAAATATTCCAGAAACTCTGTTTAAAGTGATTAAAATGTGCTGGGTACAAGAAAAGGCTAATAGAGTATCTATTGATAGAATAGTTAATTTACTTACTTTGTAATTGTTTTGTATTTATTTTTAATTAAATAAATATTATTAAGTTGAAATATATTGTTTGTTTTTTTCCAAAAACTTTTTCAAATAAAAACACAACATATTCGAATGTTTTTTTGTACATTAACGTCTTTATAATATAATAGATTTAATCAGATATATATTTAAAATTCATATTTACACCATAAAATCGTTATAATTTCAAATAACACAATTTATAGATCATAAATAATAAAAAAATTAGATTTTAAATTAATTAATGTGACCAATATTAAATCAATTTATCTTTTAATTTGTTGTTACATTTCATTTTATTATTAAAAAGTGTTTACCAATATAATATGTTATATATAAGTTATGCTATATTAAAATGTTAATAACAATAATTATTTTTAAATGTCATTAGTGTAACTCAATACTAATTTATGTATTTTATTTTTTTGAATGTAGTGTTAATAAAAGATCGACTTATTGTTTTTTTGAAAAACCCAATTTTTTAATCAATATCTTGATTCTTGAACTTCTGGGAAAAAATAATTTTTATATCAAATGTACAAACAAACTTGAGCCAAAAATCAAAATATAAAACTGTTGTAAAATGTTATATCCTCTCAATTTAGTTTAATCATTTGAAATTTAAGTTTGATTTTACATGTTTACATAGTTGAAAAGTTACTTGTTTTGTTTTTATACTATTTTTCAGAATAATAGTGTAGTAATAAAGAGTAAAACTTAATACACCAACTGATTTTTAATAAGTGCTTCTCCTTAAGTTTATCATTAATACTGTTATTTTATTAAAAAAACGTGTTTACTGTTGTGCTTTGTCTAATGAAAAATAATAAAACGATAGTTCAGAAAAAAATGTATATAATATCTCGCTTATATGTAATTATAATCATATAGCTGCAGGATGAAAATTGAGGATATTAACGTTGTTATACAATGAAATTAATAACAATGATTAATATTTGATCGTTTTGTTTTAACAAAACGTCAAACAATTTACACAAAAATTAAGATCGATATTTTTGAATAACAATGTTATTAACAATCGTTATCTTACTTTAAATTTAATTGAATTAATTTATATCAACAATGTTGTATATCTGTTAGAGTCAGTCTTTTAACGTTATCTGGTCTCAAACGTTATCTGGTGGACAAAAAATAGCTTCATTTTTGTCTAAACATCGGGCATTAGGTAAAACGTGAAAAAACCCGAAACAATTGGGATGGATTTTTGGGACTGCTCCCCGAATTATTCCATTTTTTATGGTCCAAAAGGCACCAGATAACG